TTTTTCCCTAACAAGTGAAGCAGTATCAATCAGATGCTCTTCTGCTCATCACTCTTCATATGCTATCTTTTTGAGATGTTCTAGAACCACACTGGCATGATAACTATGAATCACTTTGTAGATGAAATTATCACACTCTGAAGAAGCCTGCACTTCTCACTGGTTTTTAGACATGCTATCAGATGTGATTCAAAGGTTGCTTAAGTCAGTGTACAATTACAGATGTATGCTGGCTTCTTATATATTGTAATATGTATGCTAATTTAATTAGCGGCCGCTATGACCCCTTTACACTTGTATGCGTACGCTAGTAGTTCGGAAGCGGCCGCGTTATTATCCGACGGTCGTACGTTCTTCCGAACCACAATTAGCAGTAGTATCTGTTATTAAAGATGAATATATATGACATCTCTTTACAGATTATAAGAATATCTTTTTAGAAAGAGAAGCAGTGAAGTTTTCTGATATCAAGATATAATATAAGATTTATCTTAAAGATGATGTAACAGTACTATACAGACTTCTTTACAACTTATCAGTAAAGAAATTAAATGTTCTGTGTAAATATCTTGAAGAAGTATAATTATAGAACTGAATACACTTATCAAAGAGTCTGACAGAAGTGTCTATACTCTTTATACTTAAAAAGAATGATAGACTATGCTTATACATAGACTACAGAGACCTTAATATGATGATAGTTAAAAATCACTATTCATTACTATTAATTGATGAGATGATTAATTGATTATCTGAAGTAAAGATATTCTCAAAGATTGATATACAGAATATCTATCATAGAATCAGAGTTAATGAAGATAATATTTGAAAAATAACTTTTCATACTAAGTACAGTAATTTTGAATATCATGTTTTATCTTTTAATCTTTATAATACTTCAGTCATCTTTCAAATCTATATAAATGAGATACTGTAGAGCCTTGTTAATATCTTCTGTATAGTATATCTGAATAACATTTTAATCTTCTCAAAATCAGAGAAGAAATATGATATTCATATTCAAAAAGTGTTGAGTCACTTGAGATAGTATTAACTCTATATAAATACGTGAAAAATACTCATTCTACATGCAGAAGATTGATTTCGTGGG